GTATGTGATGGTGGGTTATATTTTCCTGTTCTTTTGTCTGTCCTCTCATTTCAGTACAGGGAAAAACAAGTAACTTAATAACTTTAGAAGAAATATAGTATTAAGCTCTAGAATAAAAAGTTGTGTTCTTGGAAACTTTTAAAACACCTAAAACTTTCACTTCTTTTTAAAATATTGGCTCTTCACAGCTCCTTGTAATGTTTTCCAAAATATAAAATGTTAAATGAAATGAATAGGGACTTATTCTGGTGGTTTAGTGGAAAGGAATTGCACTGCTAACCCAAAGGTTCTAATCCATCAGCTTCTCCATGAGAGCAAGATGGGCAGTCTTCTCCTGTGTGGCGTACTGCCTTTGAAAACCCACTGGAGGGTCAGCTGTGGATTGGTTCCAGATCTACAGTACACAACAACAGTTGATGACCTGGTGGTTAAGGATTTGTGCTGCCAACTCAAAGGCGTGCAATTTGAGTGTACCAGACTCTCCACATGGAAAAGTCATGCAGTCTCCTCCTGTGCAATTTATGATATCTGAAAAAACCTGCTGGAGGGGCATCTATGAGTCAGTTCCAACTTGATGGAACATAACATACACATAGTTCTCTAAGAAACCTGTGTAATTAAGATATGTGAAAATATCTTGCAGATTTTATTGAATTTATTGATATATTTGAATATATTTAATATTTGCTTTCTAAGAAAAAAATATTTGATAGTCCCGCTGACATAAGCCTACAAGTTGATTGGATCAGTGTTCTGCTTACTTGGTAATTATAACATATTTGTGCCTGTGACTAGGATGATAGAATTTAATAAAATGTAAGCCTATTTCTGGGGGTGCTCTGGTAGTTTAGTGGTTAGGAGTTATGCCTCCAATGGTTTGAATCCACCAGCTTCTCTGAGGAAGAAAGATGAGAAGTTTTTTCCTGTGTGATATACTGCCTTTGAAAACCCACTGGAGGGCCAGCTATGAGTTGGTTCTAACTTACTGGTATATTAACAAGAGTCATCTTATTGGGACCTTACTTAATGTGCATAAATAGTGATAGCAGAGACCTCCGATGTCTTCCTGGTTCTAGGAACTCGTTCTACTGGGCATATTAGAGTCTGATTATGCTCCACTGACTTCATCACATTCTGTTCTCTTTTGAAAAGCTGAAGATTTGCTTTACATTTGTGTCTTGCCATTCCTCTAAGACAAGAAGAAACACCATTAAGGCTGACATTTCCCATTGAGTTCTGAGAGGTAGGTAGAGTTTATTTTGGTAAATACTTCTTTTTTTTAAGATTTTTTTTTAAATTATTTGTGTGTATGTGTGTGTAGAGTCGAATCAGATCCAACTGTTACAGGAGGAGATTGCCCCTCCTTCTCCAGCGAAGCATCTGGTGGATTTGAACTGCATGCCTTCAGGATTGCAGAGGAACTTCTTGCCACTAGGCCACCAGAGCTCCCTTCTGGTAAATACTTCTTTAAAACTTTAAACCATAATTCAAATATCAAATGAAAGGTAATTTATAATAGTATATTTCTGTATCTTTTGGAGATGGGTTTATGCTGTTGTCATCTCCTACCTTTATGGCTGGATGTTGGGCAGTGTGACAGGTACAGTTTTACGGTTTTGGGTGGGTTCTTCTATGAAGCACTTTGATGTTAACTTTATTTTTTTTTCATAGTATTTTTTTAAATTTTAGTGAAAGTTTATAGAGAACTTGGATTTCCATTCATTCATTGTTGCACATTTTCCTCCCTGCCCCCCCCACTCCCCAGTTTGCTTTTCTCTTTGAAAAAAAAATTCTTTCATTGTTGTACAATTCCCCCTGCCAGTCCAATTTACTATGCAGCTTTTATTCTTGACTCTTGTGGTGTTAACTTTATTATTACTGAGCATTTATCTTCCTCAAGGAAATGAGTAGTATCTCAAACTTTCAAGTAATCCAAGTTCCTATTATCTGTGAGAGAACATTATGAAAGCTGTTCTAAGAATGAAGTACCCCAGAGAGACAGAGGATAAGCTTCCTAATAATGAACCAAGCATTACTAATGTGAATTTTAAAGTATTAAATATTTATTGAACTTATATATTTGAGTTCTTTAAATTCTGTGAATAAATTTGATAGGAATGAAAACATGGATGAAAAAGGCATTCCCTTTAAGAACAGGAACTAGGCAAGGATGCCCACTATCACCTCTTTTATTCAATATTGTTTTGGAAGCCTTAGCGAGAGCAATAAGACAAGAGAAGGGACTAAAAGGTATCCAAATTGGCAACGAGGAGGTAAAATGATCCCTCTGTGCGGATAACATGATAGTGTACTTAGAAAACCCTAAAGACTCAGCAAGAAAACTATTGGACACAGTGGACCAGTTTTGCAAAGTTGCAGGATACAAGATCAACATAGAAAAATCAGTTGGATTTCTCTACAGTGACAAAGAGAATACATAGCTGGAACTAAGAAAAACAATACCTTTCACAATAGCTAATCACAAGATTAAATACTTGGGAATAAATTTAACCAGAAGCACAAAGGACCTTTTCAAAGAAAATTACAAAACATTACTACAAGAAACAAAAAGAGATCTTGCAAAGTGGAAGAAGATCCCTTGCTCATGGATAGGAAGACTCAATGTTG